GTAAAGCATCAGTTCTTGTATAATTTTTTGACATTTTTTTTTTTAACTTAAATTGCCATCTTATATAAAAAAGTAAAAAGTTTTAACATTCATGTAAACATTAACAAATTATGAAAAAGATTGATCCACTCCTCTGTTTCCCTAAACTGCGCGTCCAACAAGTCGGTGACGTCATACACGATTTATTAGTACAGCAAGATCATACTAGGTGAATACAGGGGCGGTATTATTATGTAAAATCAGGTCATAATCAGTATGTGATGAAATATTTTGAGAAACGGGGAACATAAAAATTATGATTGCATGGCTGATGACAGAAATCTTATGTAGGCATATCTTATTTTGCTTATTTAGCTTACGTGTGACGTCATAGTTGGTTTTTCCCGTACTCAAGAAATGTAAATATGACACGTTTTTGTCATGCTTATGTCCTCTGTAATGATGTCCTGTGCAATATTGAGGTCAGCTTCACCATTCAAAATTTTTACAGTTAACCAATAATTTGAAGGACTTGCATTTCAACATAAATTTAAAAATATTGAATGATAGAATTTTTTGTAAATTACGTTTTTTTTTTGTTGCTTAAGTTGTCTCAAAAAGTACGTAATTTTCCCTATCCAGATGCGGTGTGACAGGATAAAATTGCTTTTTCGAATTTTAAACCTATTCATACTCTGAAATATTTTAAGAGATACATGTCCACTTGCATATTTTTTATATATGCTTAAAAAATCCCATTATGGACAGAGTATTGGGCCCGGAAACATGAAGAATTAAAACTCCACTAAGATACTGCAGGGCATAGTATTTGTCAATCAATATCTCTAAAATAAGGTCAGAAACCTACTGATATAACTGCTTTAAGATATGTGGGACATACTAAATTAGAAATATACAAAATATGAAAAAAATTGAATGACAAGTATTTTTTCAGCTCAAGGTCCTTCTTCCCCTTAAGTGATACAATTTAGACTTAGTTTTGATTATGGTGATAATGAAGAATGAACTTGTGTGACATCTGCTCATGAAAATTATCCACGATATCTCAGGCATAGTTCATGGTTTTCTGAATTTTTTCTTGTCTATTGAAAAAAAATATGTGCGTAGTTTTATGATCAAGAAAGACAAATAGAATGATTTTGACCTCTAACAACTTTTTTAAAGACTTCTTGTGCATAGGAATAGAGGTACTTGAAAAAAGTCAAGAAAATGACATTGTGTAGTTTGATACAATTAACCAGTTAATTGGTCAGAACATTTTGCGGTTAACCGATTTGCAATTCTGTATTCGATTGCCATCCCAACTACAGTGGCTGCAACATTATTGTTGACAAAAGAATCATGTAGAATCGTTCGTGTAACATGCGTGATCGTTCGTGTAACGTGCGAGATCATGCGTGTATCAGACTCAATCGTTTGCGGTTTTAATCGTGCGTGATCGTGCGTTAAGAAACGTGTAAATTTTGTTTTGTAAGTTTTTATTGGAATGCTTTTGTTATACAAGCATTTCACTTGTCTGTTTTTTTTTTAAATCCAAATTAAAAAGAAATGAAGCGCGATTTACATAACTGAAAACAGAATGAACTAATTATCACTTGGAAATAAACAATATAGTAAGTCGTACAATATTGTGTTCTCGTCAAATAGCATGATTTTTTTTCTGATAAACCGTACTTAGATTTTTGATTTTTTTTCTCTGATGTTAATTATATTTATTGCTAATTATGGTCAAGATATTTTTAAAATCAATAGATCAAAAATAAACATTTTTACAAATAAATAATTCTCAATGCTTACATAAGTATTTAGTCGGTGAATGTACATTTACACGACATGATTCTCGGGGTTTCGTTTATCAGCGTTATCTCTGGAGGTTACTTTTGATTATTTTTTTTAATTTCTGCAAATAAATGATTTGTAAAATAATTGTTGATTTTAGAGATTCACAAATTGAAATGTGGATATAACTTATAATTTAATTCATTTTCATGCCATTTTTTTCAAACTTATCCCTTTCTGCATATTATGAAATCCAATTCAATCAAAACTCACGGTCCATCTACATGTACATCTTCTGATAGAACAAAAAAAAAATCAGTTTTCTAAAGTCAGAGAATTACATAAATAATTTTTTGTAATCTAAAATAATTCATAAATCTTACATGTATTTAGTTCCAGAAATATCCATTTCTATTTTTTTTTTTCATTTTTCAAAGTCGATGAAATAAAATCAATCATTATTTGAAATCTAAAATAAGTATTAAGCCTTATTTCTTTTTGAAAATATCCATTCCTAAAGAATTTGAACTATTTTGCGTGAAGAATCGTGCGTTTCCGTTAGCAATCGTGTAAGATCGTGTAACGTGTAGAATCGTGTGTGTGAAGGATCGTTCGTGTAACAGATTTTATCGTGTGTGAATCGTGCGGAATCGTTCGTCTAACGTGATCGTTCGTGTAAGTTGTCAACAATAACGTTGCAGCTACTGTATCTACTAAGTGGTTAGTATGTAAATTGTAACTGGTTACAAAACTGGTTATGAAAATTTTAACTGGTTATGATCTTTCTTAATAGTTAATAAACCAGTTAATCATTGCCATCCTTATTCTAAAGATACTTTGTGACAAGTTTGGTTTAAACTTGTCCAGTAGTTCTTCAGAAGAAGTTGAAAAATGTGAAAAGTTTATGCATGACCCAAGCCCTTGCTTATGCAAAAACATCCAAAAACAGATAGAAATATGTTACAATGGTTACCTAGGTAATTCAGTTAACTTATATCAAACCACACATTGTCATATAAATGAGACTAAGTGCTTTTCAAGGGTCCAGATCAGCATTCAGTCAGTATCAAAGTATCATGGTCTTTAGAGTTTTGTATATGCCTTTTGTCTTCAATGGTAACCTGTACTTATACATGTACTTAAATATGGCCATTGAGGAGACCACTTATAATTAGGCATAAAGTAGACCAGTGAGAAAAATTGAGTAAATTGAATTAACCCTTGATATCAAGTATATACAGTATATAAATATACCATTTTAATGATCTTATTCACTATATGCATCAATACCCTGTATTATATTATACTGCATATCAAATTAAAACTTATTTATTGTGTCACAACTGAAGTGTTGCTGGACTGAAAGACATAAAGATGGACAATATGTGAATCCTATAGAGCTTTATCATTTCTTGCAGGCCCTAATTAACATTCAATCAGTGATAAAGTACCTTGCACTTAGATTTTTATATTTACCTTTGTCTGCTATAGCAACCTGTACTTATACATATGTTATACTTAAATATGGCCATTGAGGAGACCACTTATAATTGGGCATAAAGTAGACCACTGAGAAAAATTGTTGATATCAAGTATATACAGTATATAAATACACCATTCTAATGATCTCATTTACTGTATGCATCAATACCCTGTATAGTATTACACTGCATAAACTAAAACTTGTTTATTGTGTCACAACTGAAGTGTTAATTGCTGGCTGAAAGACATAAAGATGGACAATGTGAATCCTATATAGCTTTAACATTTAATGCAGGCCCTAATTAACATTCAATCAGTGATAAAGTACCTTGCACTTTAGTTTTTTTATATTTACCTTTTGTCTGCTATAGCAACCTAGTTCTTATACTTAAATATGGCAATTATGGAAACTGCTGATAATTGGGCATAAAGTAAACCACATAGAAAAAATTAATATATTTAATGGGAAAATTTTACTGTACTCACTGTTAATAGCAAGTACTTTTATATGCATGTATTATAGATATATACAGTGGTGCCCTGTTTATCCGGACCCTCTTTGGCATAAGTTTGTTAAAAATAATATTGATTAATTTTGAACTGTTTCTTATTTGGGCTAGTAATTTTTTCCTAATCAGTAGCCCCTGGGCTAGTGGGATTTCCAAGAAAATTTCAACCCCTGAAGATAAGTATGAAAAAGTCATTTCTTGAAAAATTACCGTCCGGATAAATGAGTCATTTTTCAATGAACTATAAATTACGTTTTGTAGTAAAAATCGACCGTTCGGATGTGGAACACGAATTTCTGGATTAATGAGACAGAATGACATGGAAAAAATCTATTCCCAAAAAATAGAATCTGGAAGGTGAAGTGTTCGGATAAACATGGCGCCACTGTATATACCATAAATGACTATGACCTATGGTACATATAGTCAGAGAAAAACAATCAATTAAAGCTGAACACATCTCATAAATAGGCATACACCATATTCGATTATATATCATCTACTATATCAGCACCAGGGTATACTCTTCGCATTTGTTACACCTGACTGCTTTATTGTCACAGGTATCGGAGTGGAATGGTGACACATGCTCATGCTGGTTATCTTGCATTGCCTTTGTTCATTTGTTTTATTGCAGTTACGTGTACTTGTGTATGTTTGTATACTGCACTGACCTGTGCGACTGTTGTACTAAGTTTCATTGGCATCTTTCTCTCCTGCCGTGAAAGAAGTACACAGTAATTTTTTGTCGCTACCCAGAGCTATGTAGCATACGTCAGTCTGTCTATACAGACAGGTGACAACAGATTACACTGAACAGTGACTAAGTGAGTGGCTTATATAGGGACCCTACAATATAGCGTGAATAAAGGAATATGGCGGAAAAATTCCTTTTACACAGTGTGTTCAGATTTAAAATCACTAACTTTAAAGCAAACTAATGGATTACATACCTTTTCCCATAAATCACTTCAAATTCCTACTCATCATGTAAGGCTACTTCAGAATCTCACATGTATACATTCTTTGACTTTTCTATAGGAACATTATTTCCTACAATGTACAATCACATTTTAAAATATTCAAATATTACTTCCAATTGGACATACAGGTAAACTTCGTTATCTTGACATCGACGGGACCATCGGAAAATGTCGAGATATTCGAGGTGTCGAGATATCAGAGTTGAGACTTGACATCCAAGATTTCATTGCATAGCAAAACAGCCAAGCATATCATATTTACATGACTTTAATATAGACTGTAGTTCAACATATTTCAGAATTCCCTCTATTTTTATTAAAAATCTAAGAAGTTATTTTAAAAATCTAGTTTAATAAACGTGTTCTTTATCGAAATCTTTCTAAATTCACAAAGTTTCAGAACAAAGTTACAGCATTGAGCTGCATTCGCGTGTAAGTTGCCTTTTTGTCAGAACAGGATACGAAATGCGCTCTATAAACTTCGAACCGTATAAAGTCGACATCCGATATACGGTAAAAAAAAATTAAATGCAGATTATTTTTTTTCTTATTCTATTCTGGAAGAATATACATTAAAATTAATTTTTTTAAAGAGATTTATGTATCTAAACTAACGTAGTGATGTTACAGATGCACGAATTACAGCTGATTCGGTCAATCATGTCGTTAATCGGATTGTTTCCTGTTGAATACATTTTAACTACAAATATCATTAAAACATTTTTTTAATTCCTTAGTTTGAAATTTTCAGTGTGTTTTTTATTCATTATAATTTAGTTATCTTTTTCAAATTTAAAAGTTATGTTATGTTTCGATATAAATAACATTCTGTACATTTAGGCAGAATCATGTAGATTTAGTAATGATATTACCCGAGCTCAATTAACTTCTCAAAGATGCCGAAGGGGCTTTGGATTCACCTACAAACACAGTCTATAAAATTAATTAAGCAGCGTGCAGTCAAAACATGGGTGTGAAAGGTGTGAAACTTTGACGACGTCGAGATACCCGGAGTCGTCCGTGCGACGAGCGACCCTATCTGACAAACAGTTAGGTTCAGTAGAGCAGAAAATTGCCGATGTCGACATTTGCTCTTGGGACTGTAAATATACGTCAAGATAACCCGGGTTGTCGACATTAATGAGGTCGACATATCAGAGTTTTTGCAAATCATTTATATAGTAAATACTGCCGGGACCACGGAAGGATGTCGACATATCCCAGGTTGTCGACATATGTGATGTCGAGATACCGAAGTTTACCTGTAATTGGTAGTTCACAAGCTAGAAAGCTCACTCAGTAGTTGGATTGATTGTTTAATTGTATGTCATTTTATATCCTGTTTAAGAATTTTTCACTAAAATAGAGACGTCACCATATAATGGTCAATAATCTTTTCAACAGTTTTTTTCTAAAAAGATTTCAGGCTGTCTTTACTGCAATTGTCAGTCTACATTACCACCCATTGTGGTATACTGATCCCGATTTGTTTTCAAAGGATTTAAGTTTTAGTTTGTGTGATAACTGGATATCAAAAAGTTTCAAAGTAGAGTGTCATGAGCTCATCAATGCTAATTATCAAAACACTACTTCTAGAAAATCAAAACATTTAAGTTAAATTAACCATTCAAAATATTTTTTGAAAAGTAAAACAAAGGTCAAAGTCAAGTGAACTATAACGCTGGTATTTTTCATTATAATTTATGATAAATTGTGCACATGCTATTAATAGCATAGACTTACCTCTTTTAAATTATCAAAAATATGCTGAATATTGGCACTTTAAACTTTTTTAGAAGTAGGTCAAAGGTAAGTTCAAGGGTCACAAGATTGGCAACCATGGTATTTAAAAAAAGTCAGAGTGCCACGCAAAATATTAACCAAATATCAAAAACAATTAAACCTCTTACAATTCTTGAGATATAAGGTGTGACAGATGGACAGACAGACAGATGCCAGGTAAATTGAACCTCAGGTGTTGCACTGCTGTGCAGTCGACTCACAAAAAATGTTCTTCAGACTTATTTATCATTGGAATGACTAGTAAACACCAAACTGAACTTAACCTGCTTAAGTGAGCCAGTAGTGCCCAGTACAAAGCAACAAGTGCTGTGAACAGCGAGTGAAGTGTGACCGATTGATTGAGTGTTGTTTTATGTCCCATTCGAGAATTATTTCACTCATAAAGAGTGAAGGGTTAAATAATTACAATAAAATGTAAGGAGGCAAGTCTGCCTCACCATAACCTGGTTCTTTGTGGCCCTATTTTTAACCTTCATACCCATCTCCACTGGGAATTCATTTCCTCCTCCCCCAACAATCACGTCATGACTCCATAAGCAGCCAAAGGCTGTAATGGGCAACTAGTTCATTAACAGCTAGGGCTATCAGGAATTCAAAGTCACTGAAGTTCTTTTGGTTTTTATGATACTATCAAACTATCAGTCTATCACTGAGTATCTGCATGCTTTAAAAGTTAGTATTTACCCGATTTGCTTTAATTAAAGCTTTTGTGTCTATTTTCTGCTAACAATTTATTTACAGTTTATAACTAATAAAGCAGCAAATATACCTTACCCCATGTTGCAGATTCTCTTCATCCAAGTAATTGATGTACATTGTACTTAATCTCTTCATCTGTTCATCTGGATCCTTTCACTGCATTCAGACAGTACCAGTAACTGTTATATATGGATATATTTCCTTGTCAAAGCTGTCACTTTTTAGGCACAATTGCTAAGTTTGCATCTTTATCAGCATTATTTATTAATGAAATGACAAATTCCATCAGACACACCTGCAAAAATGAAAACAAAATCTATTAATTTACATATATTCATGTCCATATTCTCTTGACTTCATTATTATATAATTGAACTGTTTTATACTGCACTGCAAATATAAAGGGCTGGGATAATACACTTTCGTCTACTATTCTATATCTAATATACTATATTAGGTATCACAATATTTATGCTACAATACAGATCACAATATCTTTAATCGGTTATAATTTTTTCATTTTATATTAAAATGAGACAAAGTTTGACACCATGCATATCCAAAGTCTCTAAAAATTTACAATTTTAGTCATGTATATGTGTTATGCAAGGGTGTATCTGTCAGTATTTCCAAAATTTATCAAGCATGACATTTAAATTGATACAAATATTTTGATTTCAGCTTTTCTTTTTCATGAAGTTCAACTTAAATATTCTTTGATAATTTTTAAATCAAAATAAAATCAAAAACTTTTAATTTCTTCATTTTATTTGCTTGGAAAATAATTATTTTTTTCTTTTGTATTTGTACGAGTATTTAGTTGAAACTAGTTCTACATGTATATTAGCTAATCAGTGAAAATCTGTATGTTTGATATACTTCAGTTTACATGCCTGTGTGTGCATTATATTACAAATCATGGGATCTGTGCTTGTAGGTGCACTCAATGTTTTAAAGTTATTCATAATTTGAGAATTATTGTCTCCTTTTTTTATTGTCAGTATATTTAAACCAATATTTTTTGGTTTTACAAAATAATATGAATTTATATTTTCTTTTTTAAAAGAGATGATGCGAATTATAATTTCAATTTTAATTTTGTTTATATATTGTTGCTGTGATCTCAATAACCTAGATTAGAATGTTCTAATCATTAAAATGATATTGTCCTACGGACCTGGTTTAAAGATAGAATTCGTTCCGTGTATTGATATTCCAATAGAATTGAGAAAATTCAGGAAATTGTCCTACTTCTGCACCCTCTTCTGGTCTCCGTGTAAGCTTTGAATCAAAATTAGTGCTGGTTTTAAAACAAGCATCATTTTTAGTTCTTAACTACAAACTATCACTATTTTAACTATGTTCTGATTTTTACATCAAATAAGGGGCCAGATTCAGCCGTTATCATACCTTGTCCTTTGAAGCGAGGAAAAAAGGTTGAGAAAATGAGTTGAATTTTCTTATTTCTATGGATTATTTTTTAGGTTAAAAGGCATATAAAATCTCAAAAAGGTTTGTTATGATTAATTTGATAGTTATTTTCAGTGCAATTTTTTTTGTATTCTTCAAAATCATTTCTGAGCGGATCCTTTCCAATATGCTACATTGCTAGTATATGGGACATATTCTAACTGTGGTGATCGAGGGCTTGTTCCGAGACAAAGTTAGATTGTTCTAACTAGAAATAACCCAACACATATATCTTGTAAGTCGAACACATGTATTTCGCAAATTCAATAAATAATTCCAAAAAAAAGAAGAAATCTTGTAAAAAGGTATTCCATAGAGAAAATTACCCAGAAAACATTGTAGCATAACAAACACTGACATATACTCGAACAAAACTTAAGTATGAAAAATAATCAGATAATGGGTCAAAATCACACCAGTGACCACCTACCCTAATCAACTGTTATCCACAAAAAAAATTATATACTTATATGTCAATCTACTTCCAAAATTACATGTTTTCCAAGATCTTACAAAATTATTTTTACAGTATGTCTCTTCAAATATTTGTTTTCCTGCTTAATAGTACTGATCATGCTGATCAGATGATAATGGGTGGGTGATATTAAGATATTATGTCCTCATAAACTTTTAGTCCCAGACCTATGAACCAGTGATTCATTTTGAAAATGGTTATCATGGGTCCAAAGGACCCCCCTTAATGACAACAATGAGTCCCATGACAAAATCAGAGCATCCAAATCCAAGGGTCATATATTAGATATTACAGAGGAAATTCTGGTGAAATATAAAAAGTTATTTCACGAAAGAGCAAATGCTTTATTGTTGCTGTGAGTAGTTCTATAATTTTACTATCAATTGTCCAAGTAAGACTACATGATTTTGTGTCATAAATATAATATATTGTCAACTGTGCACTTTGGTTCTACGTTTAGATCGTACATACGATCTCACACATTGTAATGTATCAGTCATAAAATGCACAGAAGCAGAATGAAGCAAAGAAATTTTAAGAAGAAATGAAAAAAAAACAGTCAGAAATAAAAATGATTAAATTTTAAACTTCTTAGCTTGTAAGGAAAAAACAAAAACAAAAAAATGATACAGGTTACATGTATAGCTTTTACATAGTATTCGCTTCAGAAATGTTCCACAGTATAGACATAATCAGTGATAATCGAACTATGTTATCTAACTTTCAAATATTTTCTGATAATTGCTGGTTAATTGGCTGCAATTGTGAAATCTGACCTGTTGTTGGCAACGTACCTTATATATACCTGTTAAAATTGTTCATGCATATCGCTTAGCACATGGATATGATGCAATCGGTCAAGTTTAAAATTGGATTACAATGTATACCAAATAATACACGTTCTTCTATAAATTTATTGCATCCATTGGGATGCACATTTATTAAAATAATGCGTCCTGAGCAAAATTTGTGCATAATTTACGCAGGATGCACACCAAAATGAATCATTGATGAACACCATATTTTTTTAGCGCAACACACAAAGAACTATGTAGCAACCTATGATCTACAGCACATGTAATTTTCATAAATAATGCTAGCTCACATCATAAGGAAAACATTTATGACTAGCTGCTTGCATGGCGCAGTGGTTTAAGTGTTTGCTTTAGAGTCACAGATAAAGGAGTTGATCCTAACATCACAGGTTCGAATCCCACTGCAGGATGTGGAGACCGGTGTTCAAATGAAACTGAGGTCCCATGTTGTAGTAGGTGCTGGCATGAACAAAATTACTCATTGCTCAAGGGTCCTGAGTACAGAGGTTCACAAGTGCTGGCTTTTCAATATGAGTGAAAAGTTATCGAAAGAAACATTATAGAAACAAATAAATATGACTATAAATAATTATCTTTTCTTACCATTATGGATGTTGTACATGTCCCTTTCGATAATGAAAAAAATCTTTTTCTGTCAATTCTCATTTTCTCACGCGATTTTTTCTTGCTAATCTTCTCTCCAACATACCGGAGAAGGTATTCTCGCATGTTATGTGGTACCGAACACACTATAATAAAAATAAATGCATAAATGCAAACAAGTCAACAAAATCTAATTTATTCAGAGACTTGGTTTAAAATGTCTCAGACTGTCATAAATCTCACCCTAGGCAGTTAAAAATTTCCTCAGAAATCTTGTCAGAATTTTAAAAATATAATTTCAAAAAAAAATTCATGGGAAAATATACGGCATATATATAGCCATTGTACAAAATGCAGGAATTAAACTTTCCTGGAAAGTTTAGAAATTGAAACTGTAAAAATATTATCATACCATCAAACCATATCCATGCTGATCAAAAGACTCAACAATGTATTAACTAACCCGATCAAAATTAAACTGAACCCGACCGAAAGTTTCTAATCTACATATGTAGATATACAAGTAATATATGTAGACTCTGCATAACAATTTTATTAAAATAAAAAAAATTATTGCTTGTTATATGGTTTTATAACTAAATTGAGAGTATAAGCAAGTTAATTTCTCCATGGCAACTGCATAAGATAAACAGTATTTTTTTTCATTATATGTTTCTGCTTAAATTGATCAGGATCTGTTTCATATGAATCAGGACTTGTTCAAGCTTGACAATGACAACAAGCAATTTTTCTTAGGGTCTCTTTTATTATTTAATTTCAACTTCTTTCTGAAATTATGATTATCTTTTAATATTTCTTTTCAAAATGAAACACTTAATAGGTTTATAAATAAATGAAACATTAAAAAAAAATCAATAAATACAGGCCCGTAAGAAGCAATTTCAGTTTGGGGGAGGGGGGACAGCCATGCATTTTCTTTGGGGGGCACTAACAACAAAAAATTCCTTGACAAGCTTAAAAAAAAAAAAAAAAAGGTCATCAGGCGTTTTTATTGAGGGGGCACAAGCATATAGTAGCTATGTTTTCTTTAGTATTCTATATTTCGGCAAAATTATTGGGGGCACCCCCCCCCCCGTTCCTACGGCCATGAAATAAAGTTTTACATGATTGTTAAGTAATAAAGACAATGCAATAAATTCTGCAAAGTAATTCAAATAGTTGAGGTAATTTTTACTTATGTGTAGACTGATTTACTAGTACTTTCATAATTATAAATATATTCTCCCATAAAATTAGAATAAATTCATGATAAAGGAAATAATTTACCCTGAACATGTTGAACATGCAATACATTTTTGAGTCATTTAAGTTGTTAAAGACAAAATTCTCATTTGCCCAATTAAATTTGAGATACATGTACTAATTAAGTGACCTGTAAAGGTACTTGTAGATCTCTAATAAAATCTGAGAAATTAAATCAGCAGTGCTGTAGATCGAAACTCTTTAACGGTGGTGATGTTAACTGAGTCTACTATTATAGAAAAAATATTGCAAGAATTATACAGTATATCTTTTGTTACTCAATCATGGAAAGTGTAATACATATAACTATTAACTGATATGCTCATCTCTGATATAACCTGTTAATTAATCCTCCATTCATGCCAAAAGGTACAGTGTAATAGATTGTTTAGAATATCATTGGTGTATAATAATATTATTACTTTCTACTACATGTAATGTGTCGGCTAGTGTGATGTCACAGAGTTAACTTGAGGCGCAAATAATGGGTAAGCAAGGAGGCTGATGCAGACCTAATATAATACTTGAATTTTGGCTTAATTTTTATTTCCAGTTGTAGGAATATTTTTGTCATTAAACAGAAAGTTAGACTGTAAGTATGGGTACAAAAATGCGCATTGTCAAAAATGCTTCTTTTTTTTGGCATTTGCAACAAAATGAAATTAATAGATAACATTTATCATCAACTTTCCTCCCCCCTTTTCAACCAAATTTCTATCCTTAAAAAATTGATGTGTAGCCTACAGCCTTTTTGCCTATATGGAATATACACCACAAAATATTTCCACACATCCTGCACCCAAACCCCACTTCTAACCCGATCAAAAATATTAATCTGGTCCCTTTGAATTTTTTAGCAGTTTGTAGCCCTTAATTCCTCTTTATTTTTGAAGATATTTCAAAATTCTTGCTCTATTTGGCTTGTCCAAATCAACTTTATGTTTTATGTACAAGAAATCTAAGGGGGATGCTGTCAGATACATAAATTTGTATGTACATATATGCATGTATGTATCCGCTGCCATAGACATCAGAGATGTGATATCGTGGTTGGAGGGGGGGGGGGGGGGCTCCTCCCCTCCCCCAATTAATCTTTTACTATTAAAATTGTTCAGGAAAGGCTGGTTGGATTAGGCTGTGAAAAAAGTTTGAACCTAGAAACACCTTACTCCCATTTCCAACCCAACCCTACCCCACATATAATAGGAAATTAGAGTTAGTATTTCAGGTAAATTATCGAATATTTAATTTATCTCCGCAAGAACGATACCACCAGCCTAATATTATGCTATTCAGTATATATTTATGAATAAGCAGAGATTACAATTATTTTGTTCAAGTACATGTAATCAATTGTTAGGAACAAGTAAGTTGTAAGAACTTGTTTCCGATCCATTTGCTTATGTCAATAAAATATGTTCAAAACAAACAAACGATCTGTTGAAACCACGCTGTTGGTAAACTACAATTCGAATTTCCTCCATGCTAATAAGTATACGTAAGTCTTTATCAATGAATAAATACCAGACGTTAACCGCAAGATATTGGGTGCATAATATATAGTCAATGTATCATGAATAAGTATTTTTAAAAAAACATAATTTGTTATTACTTACCAAAATTTTGTCTGACTCCTATTTCTCCGAAGGTCGTAAAGGATACCGAGGATTTCCGAAAATTTTCGGAAGGCATTGCGCACGAAAACCTTGAAGTTGATGAACACGAAACTCTAAAGCTCATTTTCTCGTAAAAAGTTTTATTCTATTTAGCAAATTGTACATACCCAAAATTAGTGGGAGAACAATATCTAAAACTAAATACTAGGAGAAATAAGACATATATAGCAGATCTTATTTAATTTTGCAAGTTTTAGCTGGTCTACATAATGACGATATATAATAATACCAATATATACGTTGCTTGAAATTTAAATTTAAAAATTTCTATAATCATAAAATTTTGGCATATTTTTTGTATTTAAGGGACAAAAATATACTAAACTAAAATTAACTATTGTCAATTTAATATTAAAAAGTCATTAATTTTCTGTTCAGAGAGGGTCAAAATGTTAAGGCGACCGGTTTTGGTCCACTTATTCTACGAGGCTACTTAATGCCAATATATAAATATGAGCGGTCTCCTAAATGGCACAACCATATATATATATATATATATATATATATATAAAGTAGTTGCAAAACAAAATACTTACTGGTAATTGACACACATTAATGTCACACTTGAAATTATAATAATTCGAAAATCTACCACTATGAGAGAAAAAATATTAATTGCTCCATTCAAGCACTGGGAGCCTTAACGTCATTGTGAAAAAAAAAAGCTTTCGAGAAAGAATTGACACATCAGGATTCATATCTCAAGAGGAACTGCATAGAAGTGAAGGGGGAAAATATTTTGTGACATGCATTTTAAAGTATTTACAAGTACCTACATGTACATGTATGTAAACAAATATGACATATGTACCTGATGAAAACATTAACTAATGGAAGTCGCGCAGTGGTTAGAGCGTCTGCTCTAGAGTCGCGAGGTAACGAGTTGTCCTTACGTCGCGGGTTCGAATCCCACTGTGGGACGTGGAGACCGGTCCTTCGGATGAGACCGTATAAACCGAGGTCCCGTGTCGCAGTCGGTGTTGGCACGAAAAAGACCCCTCACTGCTCAATGGCCGTAAGTGCCGAGCATAGGACAAAATTTGCAGTTCTCCACCGGCAAGTGGTGGCGACGTCTCCATATGAGTGAAAAATTCTCGAGAGGGACGTTAAACAACATACAAAAAAAAAACAAAAAAAAAAAAAAAAAACAACTAATGGAAATAATGTAAATTGACAACGTTACAACTTGTGTAAAATATCAACATTCTTTCATAAAAAAAAAAGAAGATTTTTATACTGTAATTATTAGGTGTGGATTATTCATTACGAATATTTACGAACTGCTGTGGAAAAATATCTTTTATTACTTTTTTTTTTTTTTTTTTTTTTTTTTAATACAAATTTTACATGTATTTAATATTAAACTTATTTATCATAAGAGATTCTGCACAAAACTGCTATGACAAATCAATCGTTCCATTTTAAAAAATCGAACTATTCATAAGTTGTGAGGATTTTTAGGTCACCTGAGTCACTCAGGTGACCTATTGCTATCTTTTTTCGTCTGTCGTCGTTCGTCGCACGTCGTTCGTCGTCAATCGGTCGTTAACTTTTGAACATTTTTAGCTTCTTCTCTGGAGCCACAGAACCAATTTCAACCAATTTTTGCATATAGCATCTATGGGTGAATGGGAGTAAAAATTGTGAAATTCATGGCCCCTGTCCCCCCCTGGGGCCTGAGGGGTGGGGCTAAAAACCATCCAAATTAATGCAATATTTAAAACTCTTCTTCTTTACTCCTGGACATCAAGCAGTCAAACTGTTGGCATGATTGTAATAAGCATTGAACCCTCTACCAAAATTGTGAAATTCATGGCCCCAGGGTCAGGGGTTCTGGTGCTAGAGCGGGGCTCTAATGATTATACAGTGAAAATGCATTAATTCTTAAAAAAATCTTCTCTTCTTCTCCTAGGTATTTAGCTGATGAATTAAGTACAGAGTTATGAAAAGCAAGACTGCCTCTTCCAAAATTGTGAATTTCATGGCCCCTGGGTCAGGGGTTCTGGTGTTAGGGCGGGGCACTAATGATTAAATTATAGTGAAAATGCATTAATTCTTTGAAAATCTTCTCCTCTTCTCCTGGGTATTAAGCCGATGGATAAAGTACATAGTTATGATGAGGAAGAGAGCCTCTTCCAAAATTGAATTTCATGTGCCTGGGTCAGGGGCTCTGGTGTTAGGGCGTGGCTCTAATGTTGTAAAACATAAAAGATAAAGTCGAAGGTAGAGTAGAGAAAGTAGAGGAAAAAAGGAGGTAATTTTCAAAATATACCTAAATTTGAAGACATCGAGTGTACCAGGTCATACATGGACATCAAACAGATAATCTATCAGCATAATTATAATAAGCAATGAGCTCTTTACGTAAAATAAAATTGTGAAATTCATGACCGCAGGGTTCAGGCTCTGGGGTGGATGAAAGTTGGATTTGTTTTAGACAATGAAATGTGTCTTAGGAAATCTTCTTCTTTACTTAAACACATTAAGAAGGTAAAATATTAGTATGATTATGATAGGCATTGAGAATTGTACCAAATTTGTAAATTTCATGACCCGAGGGTTCAGGTACCAGGGTAGAGATATATATTATATATAACTTGGTAATATTTTATGATTTAAGCAATGCAATGCATGAGTATAGAATTCTACTAAATATTCCACGAGTACACTAGGTTTTGCTTCCTAAACTACTGAATGATATGTTAAAATTGTTTTTGTATTAATTTATAATTGAAAATAATCTGCCCACTATTCGAGTTTATTGGATTAAACAATCCGGGAATATTAATGCTTATGAACACTTCCGTCCTTTACATTTGCGCATACGCACTATAGGTATCACACTGGTAATTGACCAATCAAAATGAACTTTGTCAATTGTAGTTCCATACATATAAAATTAATTTTTCTTTCTTTTGATAATTTTTTTTAAATTTTCTTCCAGGCTATTTTTACAACTTTGGTACCTGTGCCTATTAAATTTAATGTACTTTGTAAATAAATAAAGTTTTTTGACAGGAACTATTTTTTTCAGGGCATAGGAGGCTACTTCCTGGGGTGCACTGGAGCTGTTTATAAACACATTGAAAACACGTGGATTTGAGGGTAGCCCTGTTTGCAGATGGAAAAAATCAGAAAATGCCGTGTAGGTACCCTGTTTTTTGGACTCGGCTAATGAGAGAGGTAATGTTTTATACTTCCTGCTAAATATTTTTTCATGAATTAATTTACCTGATTTTTAAAGATTTTTTTTCCTATATAGAAACATATAGTGAAAACAATTACCGGTGTGATACCTTGAAGGTGATTGTGTAAAATCATCTGCATCAATATAAAAGGCTGTTTTAATTTTTAAAAGGCATATTTCAACAAAATATGTCATTTTATGAACTTTCTGTGTGAAAGCACATATTTTAAAAATTAGAAGTAGAGTTGAATTGAATTTTTAGAGATTTCTGTGAAAAATACTTATAATATATCATGTTTTACCCTCAAAACTTTAAATTATGACTTTCAAAGTAGGATTATGCATCTGACATGTAGAAAGAAGTTAGAAAATGTTGGTTTTTTATTTTAGATGACTTTAAACTATGTGCACCACCTGACCGCAGTCAATTATAGTGTCTACAGACTTTGCCGTAAAAGTACTTTAGGCTGATTTTTTCAAGAAAAGACTAATTCTGGGATTGCGAATGAGTTTTCAACAAAAGTGACAACTGCGATAAAATGTGAAGAAGTAAAACATTTTTTCACAGAGTGATAAATTTTACAGAGAGTGGATTTACTTTCATTTTATTCACCTGAAGTAATGCATGTATTACTGCAGTGGAGGAATATAAATAATGAAATGAGGTAAATTTGTCTAATAAAAATAATGCACAAGTAAAATTTATTTAGAATTTTTCAAAAATAAGAAGCTTATGACCAAAAAATGCATAAATACTGTCAGGGCATGAGAGTGAATACTTATTCAGAGTTCTAATCATGTAGCACACATGTAGTACAGAATGTCACTTAGCACCATGGTATGCCTGTTATGGTTCTCTGGACTTTTTGCATGCTTACGCAGCTGACATCCATGATTTTTCAGTTTGTCGGAGAATGTGTTTTGTCATGTTAGCACTTTTATGTAGGTTTTGACCCTCTCTTTTAAATTAAGTCTCAGTCAGGATGCTTATTTCAGCATGATTTGTTAAGCATATTAATATACTGAAATATTAATAAATTACAAATTAAAGTGATGAAGAAATTTGATACATTTACACAATCAAAATATCAGAATAACCATAATTCAGCTAATAAAGTGCCCTGTTTTTCTTATGTCACTTCCTATAAATTTTATCAGCAGTTTTTGTACACCCACCCACCCCCAAGAACCATGTAGGATGGCCTGATATTAGTCTTTTTGTTGCATTTTTTCACATTTGAAAGTGTTAAAACTCATAAAAATGTTTAAGATTTATATTTTGAAATTTAAATGTTGAATTTTTATGTAAATTTGGTGAAACCAAAAGCTGTAATCTTGAATTAATCATGCAAATTCATCAAACACCTTTGGAATTCCTGAGTAATTCAATGAAAAGAGGATAATTATGCATGTTCAATTGGAATTTCATGGCTAATTTGTGTCTGCAGAGAAAGCCAGTTACATAAATCCAAACAATAAATTACATCTGAATTGTTTCCTCCATTTTCTTATCATCAAAGCAAGTTTAATGGAGTGTCAGAGCTGTCCAGATTCTCCCTAGGTGCTGATATCATTTGGACTGCCCTGTGTTACAACACAGCTTTTAGATAAACTTCTGCACATCAGCTTGTAGACAAGTACCTAGGCTTTATTTGGAACATAAATTGACCAGATGCAGATTTTATTATCAGTCTAATATTTAACAATTTCTGTGAATTCTGTCATTCTTAGGAGGGCAAAATGCAATTTTGTTATGTAATAATTGCATAATGGTCTCAGACTTGTGAACTATTTTTTGTTTGTTGTGAAGAACAATGTATATACTCTCCACGGATAAGAAATTGTTTGCCAGACTTAGTCTATTAATGATGAAATTCTGCTTCAAAATATGCACACAAAAACTTCTGTCAGAGTGCTCTGTGTGTATTCTTGACTGCTCTGGAGTAAGGGAGATAAATGCATATATCTCCAGCAATAAGGGGAATTAGATCACCAAACTTAAGGATGTTGGTGGCAGTTATTTAAGAAATCTCAGGTGCAAAAATGAAAAAAATCTGACAACTTCAAGGGTCCTTCAAGGTATCACACAGCTGGTAATTGACCAATCAAAATGAACTTAGTCAATTGTAGTTCCATACATATAAAATTAATTTTTCTTTCTTTTGATAATTTTTTTAATTTTCTTCCAGGCTATTTTTACAACTTTGGTACCTGTGCCTATTAAATTTAATGTACTTTGTAAATAAATAAAGTTTTTTGACAGGAACTATTTTTTTCAGGGCATAGGAGGCTACTTCCTGGGGTGCACTGGAGCTGTTTATAAACACATTGAAAACACGTGGATTTGAGGGTAGCCCTGTTTGCAGATGGAAAAAAATCAGAAAATGCCGTGTAGGTACCCTGTTTTTTTGGACTCGGCTAATGAGAGAGGTAATGTTTTATACTTCCTGCTAAATATTTTTTCATGAATTAATTTACCTGATTTTTTAAGATTTTTTTTCCTATATAGAAACATATAGTGAAAACAATTACCGGTGTGATACCATAGAGCGTCTATTTTGGAGATGTACAATAGGCCGCCATGTTTTCTTTTGTTTTAACTATGGGTTATCTACACCATGTACCATAGGCCGCCATGTTTTCTATTGTTTTAACTATGGGTTACCTACACCATAACCCATGGGCTGGGGCTTCATAACCTATAGGCGGGACTTTGAATTGCATAGAATTTAATCAATTAAATTTTATTTAAAATCTTTCATAACGTTCAACGTATATATACATTGTCGTTATCATAAAACTTTCCAAATCGATCGTCCGAATGGTCCAACTGCTGTATAACATTCTCGGGTGTAACCGGCTTCTGGGTCAAATTAAAATCCGTTTGAGTAAGAGATAAATCCCCAATACCATCAAAAACGTTTACTTCGTCTATCAACTGGCCTATCTGTGAGAGAGTTTGATCATCGATAGAATTGTCCCATTCAAAATTTTGCGACAGTTCAAGAAAATCGAGATCCATGCTTCGCCCATTTTCGCTTTTTGATTGCAAGTGCGCAAATGCGCAATAAAATGTAGGCCAATATATATGTACAGTGTATAGCGCGTGCCATTATAATTATGTCAGGTGATAAACCATATTAGGAAATTTATTTGCAACTAATACATCATCTCTCTGCCATATTAGGAAATCTAAGGGTGCTATGGTACATTTGACTTACCGTATAAGTTTTTTATTGGTTTTCTCTAGATACCCTATAGAGAGGTTAAAAGGTCACTCGAAGGCTGCGCCTTCTCGTGACCTTTTAACCTCTCTATAGGGTATCTAGAGAAAACCAATAAAAAGTTATATGGTAACTACTACATAACCCATGGGCGGAGCCTTCATAACCTATAGGCGGAGCCTTGCATTGCATACGAAATAAATTAAAATTTATTAAAAATCTTTAATAACGTTCCACGTTTATATACACAATATATGGTCAAAAAGGGAAAAAAAGAAAAAAAAAGTCGATATCTTTCAACCAGAAATGTTAATATCTTGATTTACAATCCATTTTAAAAACTTCCATTTTGTTTATTAAAATGAACTGTACAGTTCTGAAAAAAATGACTGGCGGAAGCTGGAGGATCATACCGATTTTCCTCAGTTTAGAGTTTAGATAACTTTTTGGGGCGGCTCTTGGTTAACAATATCCATTTGCTCCGACTGCTGGGGCTCCAATAAATTTGAAATATCTTTCAACATATCAGTGGACGGTCGTTTGTATTTTCTCACACTTTCAACCGAGCGATGGCCAGTTCTTTCCATCATCTCTTGCTCTGGGACGCCTGCTTGGTAAAGGGTTGTGGCTAGAGTGCGCTTTCCAGAATGATTCGTAAAATAGCCCGGAATTCCAGCCTCCAAAAACATTGTTTTCATAATGGCAGCTAGTTTATTCACACCGATTGCTTGTTGGCTGAACCGCAATTCATTGTCCGGGCCGTTTTCTAGGGCTCGGCGGTAAAACGCACGGCTTTCTCCGCACTTTGTAATAATTTCAATGTATTTTTGGTGCATGTTGTACAACTTCATATTTTGGAAATGATGCACTATCTCCTTGGCTTGTACGTGGCGTTGTGCTAGTCCCCCTTCAAAACAAATCGTAATTCTATTATTTAATACTCCTTGATTGAATTCTCTCTCTCTCTCTCCCCACACACGCACTTTATCGTGTATACTGAATAATTTATATTTTTCATTCATTATTAACTGTACATGATTATAGGAAAGCTATTGAATACTATAACACAAAACATATAAACTGCAGTCCTACCTTTGAACGTCTTGTTTGATCTCCCTTTAAACTTTAAAAAGTGTCCATACTTGTCGAATCCTAGCTCTATTAGGTCAATTTCCATCCCCCTATGTTCATCGACGCCACGGAGGCCGAACAGCTTACAATTGTAGAAAAACATTGTATTCAAAAGCGCTTTTCCAGTCACATCACCGAGTAATCTCTTTTCCCATAGTTCAGTTTCAGTTTCTGTGCTTATGGGTTCCGCTTGTTTTGGGCGAGTTCCAACTCCTGATACCGTTAATTCACTCATTCGCGCACTAAGAATGCGCCGGAATTCATAAAATTTTGAGTCTTTTTCGTCAAGAAAATTTTCGTGTATGCCGCATTCCCGAAAGTACCTTAGTATTCCGACGCACAACATGTAGAGTGATTTTGGGGGATATGGCTGTCCTATCTGTGAGAGCGTTTGATCATCGATAAAACTGTCCCATTCAAAATTTTGCGGCAGTTCCAGAAAATCGAGATCCATGCTCATCGCGTTGTGTTCATCCATTTTCGATTTTTGATTGCAAGTGCGCAAAATGCGCAATAAAATGTAATATATATATATATATATATATATATATATATATATATATATATATATATATATATATATATATATATATATATATATATATCTCACATCATTTATGTGTAACTAAGCAATATGTTGTCAAACTCCTGAAGATTGAAAATGAAACCGGTAGAGTTTATTTCGGTGTTGTGATTTTTTTTGATATATATATATATATATATATATATATATATATATATATATATATATATATATATATATATATATATATATATATATATACAGTGTATAGCGCCATTATTATTATGACAGGTAACAAACCATATTAGGAATTTTTTTTTTTGCAACTTGTACAGCATTTCTCTGCCATATTAGGAAATCTGAGAGTGCTATGGTACATGTGACTTACAGTATAAGTTTTTTATTGGTTTTCTCTAGATACCCCATAGAGAGGATAAAAGGTCACTCGAAAGCTGCGTCTTCTCTTGACCTTTTAACCTCTCTATAGGGTATCTAGAGAAAACCAATAAAAACTTATACGGTAACTACTACACAACCCCTATGGCCTAAAGAAGAACCCTATTGATTTTGAGGTCAGAAGCTTAAGGTCAAAGTCATAAATTCATAATTTCTCTCTGTTTTAATACTTTCGTTTCCTTCGAGCTTTTGCTATGAAATTTTACCTAACAACTCCCTGTGTCCTAAGGAAGATCTCTATGAAATTACGACCTTGACCTCTGAAATTTTGACCTCAAAATCAATAGAGTAACACTTTCGCTTCCGGGCGATATCTCATGAAGCTTCTGAGTTTTTGCAATGAAATTTTGTACCATAACTAACTATGGCCTCACTCGCCCCTCTCAACGTGTCCCGCCCCGTTTTTTTTTTTTTTGTATTAAAAGTCGCGTGGCACTATTTTTAGCACAGGAGCATGTGGAGAGTTATATCATATAATACAGGTTTATATCCTAATTACATCATTCTATTAGAACTGTTTAGTAAAGTTTAAATTAGACACCATGTGCTGTGTAAAATTTTGACAATATCGACCTTGAATATAAACATGTATATGTGACCCAATGTTTGCATTTAATTTGCTGTATAACCTAGCGCCTCGTATGTCTAGGGCTATGATCCTCGCTTAGCATATGAGAGGTCCCGGGTTCAAACCCCGGACGATTCCTTTCTTTCTTTTTGAGAATATTTTTTATTTACTAAACGATAGTAATACATATGAAATGAAGAAGTTAAGACGTCTGGCTTGCAAACTTCTCATAAAATCATTATTAAAGTGTGATATATATTTTATATAAAAAGAATCTTATGTACCCTTATTAAAGAATAAGCAATGAAATCATTGTATACATATTGGCATTTTTTATTTGTTTCAGTATACATGTATACATTTAATAAATCTGCAAATCCAGGGGGACACCCCCTCCCTAGATCTGCACATGCTCTTCTTTTTTTCCTTAAGCGGGGGACACGAATTCTCTGTATTAGCATTTATATGGGTTTTTTACTTACTGGGTCTTTGGTTTTGCTTTAATGTATATATGTGTTGCAAAAAGTTTTGTTGATTATGCATTGAATGTCATTTGTTAAGTTTTAATGGTCATTGAAATTATAATAATTTATCATTTTCTTTTATATTGCAATTATTGATCTTTCGGCTGCCCATAATTTAACATGAAAAAGAAAAAGAAACAAGGATTTATCCAAAAAAAAAAAAAAAAAATATTTATCATAAACGCGAAAAATCATTGTTATGGGTGAAGGGAGAGTGGATTATGTTATGGACAATCCACTTTCTGCATATAATCTTACCAACTTAAGATAACTTTTTTTCTGTTCATTTTTTCTTTTTCCCCTGAAGGGAGCACTTTTAGGTTAGCCTTCTACACTATGAATTAACTCTGAAAATCCTGGAAAGTGGGCCTTATCCTCCACTATCTGCTTGCAAGAAAGAAATCTATCTGGATAAAATATATACATTTAGTAGAATTGATTTTTAAAAATTCTTTGTCCAAGATAAAAGAACAAATAATAAAAATACTTGATTTGTACATAAAGCTACTGGTTTATCGATAGGCATGCTTTAAAAAATCACACGCAGGACGAGAGAGAGATAGAGATACACGTAGAGAGAGAGAGAGAGAGAGAGAGAGAGAGAGAGAGAGAGAGAGAGAGAGAGAGAGAGAGAGAAGAGAGGGAGAGAAGTAGGCGGTGCTTGGAACACATGAATTTCCGGTTCAAGAGCATGTAGAAATAAGGAATAGCTGTCAGATGTTTTGGTTTTATGATGGTGAAAAAGCAATTGGCTTGCATGATAATTTTATGCATAATATTTCACACAAGTCAATTGCTTGATCACATCATAAAACCAAACAATTAGACAATCATTCCTTAAATACACTCAAAACTAATATGACATATTTTCCTTAATATATTAGTTAATTACACTCTTTCATAAACTAAAGATGTACAAGTAAATACTTAAAATATCGAACTCCATTGAACTTGGTTAAATTTCATTATTTGATTCATGCACATTTTCCTCAAACCATGCATGCGTGCACGAGTTAATGACGTGATCATTAGCGGACTGAAATGGTTCGTTTAATTCATTTTTCATTTTTCAAAATCTAGTGTATTGACAAGGTGAAGACCGCATTTTAACTAAATTTGTCTTTATTTCCTCCATAAGATACATGTATCAATAGTTTTAGATATGGATTTTCTGAATCACCATAATAAATTCGAGGGTTGTTAGAAAAGTTCACGGCAGGGTTGGCAAAAAACTGGGAAATACTCGTATTTCCCAGGACGGTGGGAAATACTGGTAATTACTGGGAATTACTGGTATTTCCCGGGAAATACTGGGAAATAAGAAATACGTACATATTTCATTCATATTGACATGTAGTACACCTTATTGGCCAAGATATCTACCAGGTATCACTGTTCCCGAGTTAAGAAATTCTGGTTTCTAAGTAATTCATTTTATATACATGTAATCATAACACAGTATATTCATATACCAATCATGAGAGCTTTAGACAGATGTAGTCTATAAAGGTCCATGAAATGAACACAAAGATCCCAATTGGGTTTTTATGTAACTAAAGATTCTTAAATGTAGAGTATGGTATGAATATCAAATCTGAGAAGAAGCCTTTAGTTTTACTCAAGGTAATTATCTCTCAAAACAGGAGCACAAAACTGTCCAGAGCAATTTGTTAAAACAACATGATTGTTTGTAATAACTACAGTGTTTATAGAAGGATGAAAATAAGTTTTTTTGGTTGTTCTTGGATTTATAATTAATAAACTTAATAATTTTACAAAACTGAAGAGAAACTTGAATTGAAAAACTTCATTTTTTTACAGCCAGGAAAATGTTTCAGAATGCTTTTGGGTATGGGACTTGGAGAAGGTGATACATTCTGAATATTTTATATAATAGCAATTTGAGACATATTCCTATGGCATGTCAAATGTTCCAATATTCGATCTTTTCCATTTGTATTGTATAATTTTCTATTTGTATTGTATAATTTTCCATTTGTATTGTAAGTTTCCATTTGTATTGTATAATGTTTATTTGTATTCTATAATTTTTCATTTGTATTCTATAATTTTTCATTTGCATTGTAAAATTTTTATTTGTATTCTATATTTTTCATTTGTATTCAATAATTCTTCATTTGTATTGTATAATTTTTTATTTGTATTGTATATTTTTTTATTTGCATCGTATAATCTTTATTTGTATTGTATAATTTTCAATTTGTATTCTTTAATTTTCCCTTTGTATTGTATAATTTTTATTTGTATTGTATAATTTTCCATTTGTATTGTATAATTTCTCATTTGTATTGTAAAATTATAGAATACAAATGGAAATTTATAGAATACAAATGGAAAATTATACAATACAAATGGAAAATTATAGAATACAAATGGAAAATTATAGAATACAAATAAAAATTATACAATACAAATGAAAAATTATACAACATAAATGAAAAATTATTGAATACAAATGAAAAATTATACAATGCAAATAAAAATTATACAATACAAATGAAAAAATATATAATACAAATGAAATATTATAGAATACAAATAAAAATTTTACAATACAAATGAAAAATTATAGAACACAAATGGAAAATTAAAGAATACAAATAAACATTATACAATACAAATGGAAAATTATAGAATATAAATGGAGAATTATAGAATATAAATGGAAAATTATACAATACAAATGGAAAAGATCGAATATTGCAACGTTTGACATGCCATATATTCCATATTATTCATCTTCTGTTTTTATGTTTATTTTATTTTTAAATTTTGTATAAGATTGAATGAATTAGAGAAATAAAAAAAACTCTAATAACTTAGTATTGGGACCTGGAGAAGTTGATACATTCTGAATATTTTATATAGCAATTTGAGACATATTCCATATTATTCATCTTCTGTTTTTATGCTTATTTTATTTTTAAATTTTGTAAAAGACTGAATGAATTAGAGAAATAAAAAACTCTAATAACTTAGTATTTCCCAGTATTTCCCAATATTTCCCAGTTTAGAGAAAATTTGTAGTATTTCCCGGGACGGGACGGGAAATACCGGTATTTACCACTGGTAATTCCCATCACTGATATTTCCCGGCCAACCCTGGTTCACGGACATGTTTTATAGTGAGCGCGCTATTGCATGAAACTAGTAAAACTCTGTATGTTAAAAACCATGCGTATTTTCAAATAAATATGCAAAGATTTGGTGTTTTCCGATTATCTTTGAAAAATATACAGGTATATTATTTAGAAAAAGCATATTTTACGGAGCAAGTCACTTCTGTTTAATTGTAATTTGTCATGGTGACCAACTATATAATCATTATCCTTTCCTTTATTGAGCCCCATACCCTCCATCTCTCTTGTCAGGCTTCGTGAACACGATGGAGATTAGGGGAGTTTTAAATCTAATCTAAGAGATATCAGAAACTTAAGATACACAAGAAGCGCTTTATGTCAATTAAGCTTTCAGAAAGAAACTTATTTGGCATATTTTATTGCAAAAAATTTCTTTATTATCTTTACAAAGTGAAATGTAGAACCATGATGCAAGAAAATATCCATGATTAAAAACTTTCTCCCTCTCTTATGTTTGATTAGTATAAGATACCTTCAGTGAGAGTTTTAACGCTCTTTTTTTCATATCCTCTTTAGTCAGTCTCGCAGGATTGACTTCTCTTCTATGTTATTTCTTTTTTAGTCCCCTGGTTTGGGAAGTTGTGGATAAGGTTCTGCATTTACATCAAGTCAATTCTACAGAGCCTTCATATCCCAGACCTTCTATTGATAAGTCGGAAAGTCTCATCGAATTATCCTCTAGTGTTCTAGCAGCTGTTATTTCCGATTCCATGAAAAAGGTGCGAAAAAAGAAGATAACCTGTGACCCCTTGATCACTGTTTGATATCGTCACCCTACCCTATTCATTGTATTTTCTGCTCTTTTGAAAAAGTTGATACCATCTAAAAGTCAACTGTTCATGTCTGTTCCTTAAAGAAAGTTATCTTCATACCATTTTAAGAATATAAAAATTCACAATATTAAAGACCTAAGAAAATAATAGCAACGAACTACTGACCACGTGCACAGGACCCACTATACTGAAAGTCAATTGAACAAGTATTTACACTGTACATCTTACTGTGTCGCCTGCAGAGCAGAGTGACGCTTAAGGATCACTATACACGTACCTGGCACCTGTCCAGTTGTCCGTCCGTCCACTTGTCCGTCTTCCACACTTTTTATCTTAAGAGCTGTTATATGAATGGATTTAATATTTTGCACATATATACAGTAAAATTCGGTTACAGTGAAGTTCTGTGGACCTGCAAATTTGCTTCGCCATATCAGTAATTCTTTATATCTGTATAACACATTTCTTGAAGTAAACATAGCAAATTCGCAACAAGAATTTTTTCATTCAAGATTGACTACCAAATATATATAAAATTATAGTACAAAATACAAGATTTTGCATGAATTTCAAAAGTTTTCGGATGAATTGAGTTTCAAATATAAATACTTACAAAATTAATTACAGCTCAATGTCTAAGAATTCAGATCTTTGAAAATTCGCTATAAAAGTCGTTATTTTTAACTTCTAGGGGACACAAAATCAGATCGCTATAACCTTAAATTTGCTATATCTGATTTAAAACTTGTCTTTTGAATTTTGAGAGGCATGGTTTCGAAAGTAAAAGATATATTACACGTTTATGAGCTCATGACACTATCCTTTAAAACTGTATAATAAATTAGTTTTAACACATATGCACTGAAGAAATACTATGAAAATGCATCGGGATAGGTATACCAAAAAAAGAACAGGTGTTTATGGGCAGGGGATCATAAAGTCAGAATTATGAAATGTCTTGAAATAAGTTTATAGACTTTTCTTTTTATTTAGTTTAAATTTATAATTTTTCTATGATTATGTATCTGCATAGATTTAATTTCACATTATTTCTCAACTGAGTATTACTTGTAAAGGATAGCCATATTAACATGCTTGTCATTTATATTAAAACACTAAACATTTTGTATTAATGATTCACATATTTTTCTTATCTTAAACCAAGATAGTAGGTGAAATCGTGAAAGAATTTAGTAAATGTCAACCATAACCGTAATTTCCTGAGGCCATTTTGTGCAATGGCTGCCATGGCCGCCAGGACCCGATTCTGCAATGGCCCAATATCAAGATTGCTTTCTATTGTGAATTCCTTTGCATGTATTTATACCAAACATGGTGCTTTTATCACAAAATGCACAATATGTTACATATACATGTACCTATATATGCCGCAGTACTTCAGGAATTTTAACTAGAATGCATGTACAGTATGATGATATAAATGAAAAATATGGTATCGTTAGTTGAATTTTTTCAAAAAAATTCAAATTGGTGGTCATTAGTTCTGAATTCACCTTAATGGTTTGTATTAGGTTTCACGTTAAAGTTCTTATCACAGTCAGTCAGATCATTGTACATAGACACCCTACCAAAAGTTCTTATCACAGTCAGTCAGATCATTGTACATAGACACCCTACCAAAAGTTCTTATCACAGTCAGTCAGATCATTGTACATAGACACCCTACCAAAAGTTCTTATCACAGTTAGTCTGATCATTGGCCACAGACACCCTACCAAAAGTTCTTATCATAGTCATTCAGATCATTGTACACAGACACCCTACCAAAAGTTCTTATCACAGTCAGTCTGATCATTGTACACAGGCACCCTACCAAAAGTTCTTATCACAGACAGTCAGATCATTGTACACAGACACCCTACCAAAAGTTCTCATCACAGTCAGTCAGATCATTGTACACAGACACCCTACCAAAAGTTCTCATCACAGTCAGTCAGATCATTGTACACAGTCAGTCCTATCATTGTACACAGACACCCTACCAAAAGTTCTCATCACAGTCAGTCAGATTATTGTACACAGTCAGTCAGATCATTGTACACAGACACCCTACCAAAAGTTCTTATCACAGTCAGTCAGATCATTGTACACAGACACCCTACCAAAAGTTCTTATCAAAGTCAGTCTGATCATTGTACACGGACACCCTACCAAAAGTTCTCATCACAGTCAGTCAGATCATTGTACACAGACACATTACCAAAAGTTCTCATCACAGTTAGTCAGATCATTGTACACAGACACCCTACCAAAAGTTCTTATCACAGTCAGTCAGATCATTGTACACATACACCCTACCAAAAGTTCTTATCACAGTCAGTCAGATCATTGTACACAGACACCCTACCAAAAGTTCTTATCACTGTCAGTCTGATCATTGTACACAGACATCCTACCAAAAGTTCTTAATATTGAAACTTGCCTTTACAAAAAGTGCAGTCCGCTCATTTAACAAATTGAAAAAAAGGTCAAATCTTGTTTATAGTTTATTTTGATATAAGCAGTTTCACAAAAATGAAACATGAAAAAAATTACATGCATATGGCACACAAGACATTTTGATTTTCTATACATAATCAGAATATGCATAAACATTTACAGCCGAAATAAGAATGATAACAAGAAGTAGAAATATGCGCATGCTATGAAATGCCAATGTCTTATTCAGATCAGTTTATTACATGAAATATATCCAATGAATAGATGAAAAACAATTAAGGCTATTTCTGCATTATATTTTTTATGAAGAAATCTTCAACATTTTTATCAAATAACTCGGCTCTTCTTGTATGAACGTTCCAGCACAATTCACGTTTTCCTGTAACTTTATCTGGCTTCATGACGAGCACAGAACGAGATCTTGTGGTCTTCAAACCTGGTTCCCTGATCCGAAGATAACCAATTATCTGATCTTTATTGTTGGTCTTCACTTTGACGACAGAAATAAATCGATGTAAAAACTGGCCTGAAAATACAACAAAGGATTACAGCGATACAACAATTAACCTTACAATGTTGCAAAATAAAATTCCTAAGTTATACTGAATTAGAGACGAAGAAAGGTGCAATTTAACTTACCAAGAACACCGTCCGACTTTCGGGAAAGACCAGCCTCGTTTTCAATATACAAATTCAAGTAGTCAACAGACATGTTAACAGAGGCAATCGTTCTTTTAATGGAGATTGTAACGTTATTCCCAAAGTCTGCATGAATCACCCTGTTTCCCTTTATAGTCAAAATTTCGATTGCAATGTCATTGAATTTATATGGTTTCTTGTCTGCCCAAAATAGTTCTGCTCCATCGTATATAATTTTTGTTGGTGTTATCTTCATGACATGATCCTTATGTAAGATTACAACTTCCCCCATGAATGTTTTCATACGTCCATGTTTGTCAAACGTAAATGATGGAATAATACCAGCGTTAATAGATAAACCTGTGAAAAGAGCAAAAAGGTATATCAAAATAAGGTAAGGGGAACAATTATTACCATTTAACCTAAAAATCGTTCTGCTAAAATAATGGTTTTTGGACTTTATCTTCTGAAATAATTCTTATTATCTTTTTAGATTTATTTATGCTAGGATTTAAGATTATTTATTCTTGCTGTTAAATATTTTCCTATTTTATTATTAACCAGAGATGATCCAACATTACAGGCAATCTTAATGACATTAATCTGACATAATAATATCTATTTTAAAAAACGCGAGAAACGGAAGCAAGTATTCAAAATGATGCCTAATCTCTTCTTACTGGACACAAGAAGGGAAAACAACTAATGATTGTGAAATATATTTGGATGTGAAAGATGTTCATCTGTGATCTTAAATTACATGAAAAAAGCCAAAAAAAAAAAAAAAAAAAAAAAAAAAAACCCAATGTTTCCTTTCAACTGTTGATTTTAAGTTGACTATTCTAGATCATTATCAATAGATCATGATAATTTCCAATCCTTCTGAATCAATCTTTCACCAATTAGTGTATGCTTATAAAATTATTTTGTTAAATTATATTGTAATACAAGACCATCTTATCCATTTACAGTTTGGAAAAAATGGTCACAGAATTGGAGCGCATGAAATAAGTTAAATCATTCCATATTTTTACGAAACAGTCATGGACATTGCCACCTTCCAACTAAAGGCACATATATCCTGTTCTTTCACAAAACAAGGCATTAAAAATAGTTAAGAGCCATTCTCTGTAATGACTTTAACTTTTATATAGGAGCTGTGGCGCGCATAGTCTCAGAATTTCTCCACACTCTCTATGATAAAAGTCTTTGATACCGTAAACTCAACTTAGGCAAGAATTGGTTGCTACGTGTCATGGTTACCATAGCAACATGTCCTAACGTTTGAAAAATGGCATTTTTCAACATGTTCAGAGTCCCACAGTTAACGTTTGCGGCAGAGCAAACAAGTGGCATTGACTGTTTCTGAAAGTTGAAGGCCTGATGTCTTGAATGCATGATAAACATGTTTGGTAAAATCAACTATTACATACGTTACTATGTAAACAAAGTATTCAAAAGTAATAATTTTGTTCATTTTATTTTCTAAAGTCATACACTTAAGAATAAAAACAATTATAAGTTGAAATGAAAGCAAATAATAGACAAGAGATCCTTGTTACATATACCAAGGACGAAATATTAAAATTCTTATAGGTTGGCAATGGTTGCCATGGTTTTAATACCACGAAGGGGTTTTAAATTTACTCTCTTAGTGTTTTAATCTTACCCTATATTTTTAAAAAGCATATTTCTATATAACTGATGATCAATTTTTAAAGGCGTTGGTGTGACCCTAATTTTCACATTTTAAAAAATTCAAATTCAATTCTTTAAATAGAGTGCTGCTATGGAAATTAGCCGAAGAAATATGCATAAAAATCTGAAAAAATATTCTGTTTCCTTGATACGTACCCTTGTATATAGATTCCCAAAACTTTTACGATTGATATATATGAACAACTAACCTGACTTTCAATTTCGACTACCACCCAATCTCTAACTGGATGCAAAAAACTGGCACATAGGGTTTAATATTAAAATAGAATTAACAAAATCAAACATTCTCCCTTCTTGGTAACCATAGCAACAGTGTTGTATTTTTCAACAAACTTTATCAATATATGATATTCAACTTTAGTTCTACCAGATGAGTGCTATTTAAGGTGAGTCAAATAATATGTTTCTTGATTAAAAGGTACGTAATTTCCTAAAGCAGCAAAAAATATCACTTTAAATAAATGGTACCTTGTTTCCATGGTTACACTGCAAAGTAACAATTAATCCCAATTTTTCTTATGTTGTCGGTGTTGCAAGGTCCTAAGGATGTATATGTACGTCATGAATTTTATTGTTTTTCCTCAAGATAGTAGCATTAACCCAATCATAGCAACAGATTTTGCGTGGTTACACTGTGTTACCATGGCAAACATGAAAATTATTTTTAGAATAATATTGCCAATACCTAATTACTTAAGGTCAAATATTTTTTTTTTATTGTTTTTCTTAGGTTGTTGATTTAGTTTGATCATGTAACATCTATCATTCGTGAATATTGAGCGTTTTTCAGCATTTTTCAGTATCTAAAATGTATTCCAAATGTACCCATGGTTACCACTAACTAAGAGATAAATTCTAAATAGTTTCTTTATAGCATAAGTGGCAACAAGGTGTCATGTTTTTGGGAGAATGGTTTGTTTGTTTTTCTTAGTCTTTATTAAGGCGTAATAAAGATTCAAAGTAGCTGAAAATCTCAATTTTTCCAACTTTTCTGGCTGTTACCATGGCAACCAAGACACATAGCAACGAAATTTTATTTGAGACATGTTTCTGGTGTCAAGTTGTAATAATGGGCAAACTTTCATCAAAATCGGTGACCATGCGTGGCAGAGAAGTTTAAGTGGTTACAGAGAATCGCTATTAATTGCTGATACCTTCAGATTATGATTTTATTAGTTATGGTCTAAACAAACCTGTTTCGGGGTCAGTTAATAAACGAAGAACATCTCCTGACTTGGCTGGTATATCAAAACACAATGGATGCTCTAGTTTCTTTATTCTGATCATAAAATGTGGGTCTCCTCCACCTATATGGTAAAACGAAACAACAGAAAACACTTCAACTTTACGAAATTCTTTAAAAAAATTTAAATGGACAATTCTGACAAATATTCATTTATAAACTTTAATGAAACTATTGCAACATTTGGAAAACTTTGTTGAACAAATTCAAAAAATTACCATATTGTCAAATGTCTAATGCATGGTCAGGATTACGTAAAATGACACAGGGTTCTCCATCGGCTGTTTTAATGTGTCGGGCCCGACACAGTAAAATTTTCCCCGACACAGTAACAATTCAAATTTTATGCGTGCGACACAGTAAAAATTTTGCAACACAGTAAGATCCGTGATAATCAAAAAATCAGAACATAACTTTTCTATAACTGAAGCTTTAATAAAAAGAATCTACGATCTTTCAATGTTTAATGCAGAGCATTTAATTATCTCTTAATATTAGGACACATTGTCTTGCTTCACCTTGCATTATCAATTATCTCCTAGACCCTCGCTGAATTTTACGCATGAAGGACAAAGGCAAATCATTTGTTTTCACACTTCCATGTAACCGTATAATTGCTAAATGTATTTTAAAATATTATTTAAATATATAAAAATTAATTAAATATATTTCTTTACTTCAGAATCACGTCTCCAGAATAATGATGGCACTGTCAAACATCATAGCTTAATTTAATTGATGTACATATATTGTTGAAGAATTTAAAGGCACCCCTAAAAGTATTTTCAATTCTAAAGTTTCTTTTTTAAATTCAAAAACTTACCCGTAATTCGATGAACGAACAAAATCGCGGCAAATTTACTTTTAAAGATGGCAAGTAGTTCGATTGTATCGACCAGAATTTCCTCTGCTCTTCAGAGCATGTAAAATATAAAGTTATATATAAAAAATATCAAGGTTTAATATTTACAACTTGTAAATACTGATACAAGTATATTATCTAAGTATTTTTCTTATAATCGTATTTTTTTTAAAATTAAGTTGTGTTGTGTGTAGGGGGGTGGGGGTGGGTCAGTTGGTTTGTGTTATAGAATGTACATTATTATATATGATTGGAGACATTCTAATTGTTTTCAATATCCATTAATTTATTTTTTTTATTATTATGTACGACCATACCATGTGTAAAGAATAAGTGACTCAAAATAGTTGTATGTGCGTGAATGCTTGTGTAATTATAATGAATAGTGGTTCAATTGCGAATTTGATAGCGAATATACCGCGAATATATAGGGCTTCGCGAAAAGTCTGCAACACAGTAAAATTTCAAATGATGGAGAACCCTGTGACACATTTCGATGCAGACTAATTTCAAGTTTTTCGTGATCTTCCATCTTATCTCGTATTTTATCTTGTAGACCCTTGTCACCCATTGATCGTTAATGAATACCCTGTTCGAATTGCTAGTGAGTAACAGAGTTTAAATATCCCCACTTACCCCCTCCTCCGTAAGAACCACCACCACCACCACCACCACCACCACCACGGCTGTAAGATGGTTTGCTACCGCTTGATCCCCTTGGAGGAGTGCCGCTTGATCCACTTGGAGGAGAAGATAGCACTGTAGAAGTATTCAATATATTTTTAAAAAGGTTAATATCAAAGTCTGTCAAGAAAAAGCACTTGCCAGAATCTGTAAGTTAATACCATTGTGTTTTTAACGTTATAATGATTTGATATTTTATAAATGGACAAGGAAAGGGAGTTTGACTTTTAATTTGTAATATGATTTTTTAGTTCATCAAATTCCTTACTAAGCAGACAAAGCGAATTCAGAGACATAAAAAGCAGCGATAATAACTGTGTTGAAGCATTTACAATGGTAATGTGTAACAATGAACAAGTAAGTATACATACAATCGTCATCCTCTCCCTTACTGAGGTCTCCCACATCTCTCTCTTCCGGCTTCGTGACCACCATCGAGGTAAGAGGAGTTACAAATTTGTACTAAATGATATATGAGAAACTTAAGATTTATAAGAGGCGCAATATGTTAATTAAGCTATCTAAAAGGTATTTATTTAGCATATTTTTATGCCACTCTAACATTGATAAATAAAATGAAGAACAATGGTACAGGAAAATGTCTTTGATTCAATACTTTTCCCCTCTCTTTTGCTTCAGTAATGTAAGGTACCTTTAGTGAGAGTTCTAATGCTCTCTTTTTCATTTCCTCTTTAGCAGTTGAATCAGTCTCGCCGATGGATTTCTCTAGCAGTTGTTTGATGGTCAAGTAGGCCCAAATTTTCTCTGTTATTTTTTCGTAGTCCCCTGGTTTGGTAAGTTGAGGGAATGGGTTTGCATTTACGTCCGCCGAGAGAGCCAATTCCACAGAACCTTTGGATCCCAGACCTTCTACTGATAAGTCAAAAAGTCTTACCGAATTATCCTCTAATTTTCCCGCGACCACTATTTCAGATCCCGTGAAATAGGTGGGAAAAGTTGCAGTTGTGAGATTTTGAACAGTCGATGCGTTGTTAAGATATTTAAATGAAACATCCTTCAAAACAGCCGCAGAGATTTCATCGTAAAAGCCCTTGATCTGAAGAGTTGCGTCTGAGTCCTCGTAAATTTTACGACTCAAACCATTGTTTTGAATGGCGACTTTCTTAACGAATTCATAGTCTGCTCCACGTCCAAACGCCAAACTGTATATGGGAAACTTATGCTCGGAGTTGGAATTTTGAATATTTGTCAGAATGCTGTTGATATTGGTGATACCGGATGTTGGTTGTCCATCGGTGAGGAAGAAGATAACTTGTGACCTCTCCTTTGTATTTTCTGCTCTTTTGAAAAAGTTGATACCCTCTAAGAGTCCACTGTTTATGTTTGTTCCTTAAAAAGAAGGTATGACCATATCATTTTTATATAAAAATTCAGAAATCACAATATAATGGACATAAAGACATAAAAGCACTGGACTACTGATCAAGTGTTCTTGAACATGGACCAACTATTCCCAGATTTTAACTGTACAAGCATAGAGACTGTGCATCTTATTTTTTTTTTATTATATAGACAAATTCGATTTGGTATCTTTTTGCTATCATTGAAATCAAGTATGCACACTCTGCTACATAAGTATCTTGAGTCATTCATTTTACCTCCTATTGTACTGATGCCATTCACATATTTCTTTGCCGCATCCACCGATTTTTTGTTCGCAAGTATTGGTGAATCCTTGTAAAAATAGACGTCATCGCTGAAAAGTAATATGTTAAAACGGTCACCATCATGCAGGTCATTAAGCATAGCCAGCACAGCTTGTTTCATCTGCCTCATTTTCGTTCCACCCATGGACCCACTGACGTCAAGTATCATAATAACGTCTTTGGGGATTTCCTCCATCTCAGAGGGAGCAAAGAAATGAACAAAGTACCCATTCACCACCTGTAATGTTAAAAGTTTCACATGTATATGAAAAACAAAACATAGAATCACAGTTTTTGATCACGTACCTCGAGCTCATTACTATAATAAGATGAAAATGCAATCTAAGGGACTTTTAAAAGATCAATTTTATAGTAGTATGTAAACTATTACAAAGTCATCCAATCTACTACATGTCATTGTTTTATTTGAAATATGAAGATTTTGAAAATTTACTTATCAAAAATTACACTTATATTTAGACATTTTTAAATCAAATGTCAGAGAATTAAATTGTCTCTGATCATACCAGAATATCCCCTGCGTCGGATTTTCTGTCGATGTCGTACTCAACTACGAAAAGTCCAGAGATCCCCTGGTTGGACTTCTGTCTCTGGTCTGCTTCCGTTGGACTGTACAAGATTCGTGCCGAACGTTTGGATGGTCTCTCAATTACGGCCAGTGAGTTCTGACCTGCAATTGAATTATGCAGCAAAACCTGCAGGAAAATTTATCCAGTAACGGAAAGAAACTTAAGTAGTAACTTCCATCAATTCACAGAAAATCAGGAGTGTTTACTAAGAGGACAATAACATTCAATCAGCAACTCCTTTATTGTATTACTGATGTCTACACTCTGATCAAAATTGTAATATTATATAAATACAGTATTTATTATATTATGCTGAATGTTTTCTGCAAATACAAATAAAGGTGAAGCGCGCTCACACTGATTCCGCGCAGCCAGTATTTTTTGGTAATATCACCCGCCGTTAAGCAATGTTGACTGTTGCTAAGTTCTATCATGCTGGAGAGCGTGGTTTCATCATGCATTCTGAGGGCAACCGCTTTTTTTTTAAAACAAATGTTTATCGACAAATCAGTTTTTGGTCTATTGTTGTAAATTGAATTTTCATACAATATAATATTAAATGTTATCAAAATCTTTATTTGCAAAAAAAAAAAAAAAAAAAAAAAAAAAACCTTTACTGACATTAAACATTTAATATATATACAGATCCTTTTGTAAAATTTGGAAAAGGCCTTTTGCAATGTCAACGTTACCTAAGCAAATATTATCGGTATAAAAATTTGTCTATACATGTACATACACAATTATTTAACTTCTAGAACTATTGCTTTCATATTAATTCGATATAACAATGTGTTTCATTGATATTAAATGTCATAATGACAATTAACTAAACAATTTGACAAGAAATAGAATTTGATTATTTCTGTTTGTATGACTCTGATATTAGGTATATGTTTCCTTTAAGATTCCCGCATACTTGCTGCAAATTATGGAGTGTAAAACGTTTCATTATTATATTTTTTTGTTATTCACATTCAAAATTTTTGTTTTTCTTATTCTAAAACATTCCTATTCGATAAAATGTAATTCCTATTCGATAAAATGTAATTCCTATTCGAAAAAGCGTGAAATCTATTCGATAATTTATCATTCCTATTCGATAAGTTGTTATTCCTATTCGTAAACATGTGATTCCTATTCGATAATTAGTTATATCTATTTGAAAACATGCGATTGCCATTAGATAATTTTGTCATTCTTAAAACAATTTATCGAATAGAAATGACAAATTATCGAATAGCAATAATGTTTTTTCGAATTAGAATAATAATTACCAAAAAGGAATCACATTTTATCGAATAGGAATGATATGTTTTAGAATAAGAATAATGAAGTCTTTGAATAGGAATAACAAAAAAGTATAATAATGCAACGTTTTACACGCCATAGTCAATTAACATGAACTTATTTATTTTAATTAGTTGTATGCTGTCATTGGCATCTCGCATGTCAACGTAAACAGTACAAAAATAAACTTGCATGGAATGTTACAGACATAGACATAAATAAAGTGCAGGTTTTAGCAGGAAATACATGTAAAAACATCTCATCTTTTTCACAATAGCATCAAGCAAATACTAATAAGACTTTCTTTCCATTTTATCTTTTACCTGTCATGTTCACTGTTTGCTCCAAGTCGTTTCGCAGAGGTGGTACCCTGACGTTCGTGATGTCTCTTGATTCTTCTATAGCGACCTCAACTTGCAGATCTTTCACAATTTGTTGCGGATTTATGTAAATCACATGCTCATATGAGCCATGTTTACGTTTCAGAAGCTCCTGGTAGGTCAGATTAAATATGACTTTTTCCTGTGCTGCCACGTTGACTTCCACTGAGAAACGGTTTGTTTTTCTAGGCCTAAAATATTGATTTTTTTTTTAAATATACAAAATATAAAACCAAAAACCTAACATTCAAGGAAAATAGTTCCAAAAATTAGTATTTGTGACTATACATGCAATCCAAGATTAGATATTGTGTTTAGATAAAAGAAGCTTGATGATTATGCCGGATTATCACAATTTGGAATTTATAGATGCTCCAAGATTACGTCACATCCGTGCTTGTGTATTAAAATTTATGCCATATTTAGTAATAAATAATAGCTTATCAGCTAGAATCAGCTTTCTTTCTTTATATATAATTTCCAGGTACACCCCTTGTGGAATAAACCTTAAAAACTTTTATTACAATACCTTTTTTTCTTATTTATTCATATTCTCTCTAAAAATTTATAAATACTATTATCTAGTATAATAATAAACTAATCTAAACTAATCGGTGAATATTTGATTGTATTTGTTTCGGTTGCTATTGACGTATTATCACGTCTCATATGAATGTAAAAATTCTTGCATTGGACCTAAAACAACAAACAATCAATCTGAATATTATTACTATAAGTACGTACACATAATAAATATACGAATATATGCGATTACCCTTTTCCATATAACATCCTGTATCAGCACACAGCTTTCTGCTGATACCGATGTCTCTGGTGTGATATGGATGAGGATAAATATTATTCTCCATGTACTGCTTTTGTTAACTGTTAACTATACTTACATTTCTAGATACTTTGTTTCATGAAAACACACATATATTCGAACATACACCTTATCACGCCCTCTCCTTCTCTTCATTGTACATAGCACTTTCCCATTTGAAATCAAAAATTTTTATAGATTTTTTTTAGAAAAAAAATATTTGTCCATCAATGTCTCATACTTGGCGTACATTGATTTTTGACCACCTTAAAGTATTAACGGCATAGAATAAAAATAAGATTGCATTTTCTGATTCAAGCCTACATGTATAAAGAGATGCTTATTGTTTCTTATATTTGGTCGATATTACACTAATTTTTGTCGCTGTTCAGAAATTTTTAAATGAATCCTGTAGGTTCAAACAGATATATTATTGACTGTTTTATTTGTATAGGTTTTTGTTATTGTTTTGCATGACAATTATTTTGTGTTTTATTAAGAACTATTAAGTTGATAGAACTTGTTACTGATCCTTTTGATTGTCAATAAAATATGTTCAAAAACTCATATAAACTTACTGCTGTTTAACTTGACCCGCACTTTGACCTTTCTTCTTGGCAGCCTCATACTTCTTCTGGGCGACGACTTTTTCATTAACTTCCCCAGGGTAAATACGACCCCCAATCTCCCTAAATGTAAAATTACACTAGTATGATGATTGATACACATTTTCGTTGAAAGATGCACATAAAAAGAAGGAAATAAGTACTGAATAATAAATATAAAGATCTTGTCATAAATTAAAAGACAAAGCAATATACGTCACCAGTTATCATTTTGCAATTTAAACGCCTTTAATAAATAACATAATTTAGGTCTTCAAACTGCACTATGAACTAAAATATTTTTTTATATTTAAATTTAAGCAGATATACGATTAACTTGCTGAATTGTACAATATCCTAATAAATCGGTCTTTCATTCAAGAATATCTTTTTTACTATTCTTTTGATAACCATTTCGTGATGATCAATATCAATAATTAGTTTGATCACAATTATCATACATGCCACATACGCGTAAGATTAATATCCGTACCGGGGTCGTGAGACTATGCTAATTATCTTTAAATCTACGATACAAGACTCCTCTAGTTGAAATCAACCCCATTCACAAAATCATATTAAATTTTGCAATTATAACTTGAAAGAACAAGATCGGTATTTTTTTTAGAGCTAATCATTTCGTCTTACTAAAGATTAATCGAATTCATTGCAAATTAAAAATCTTTGCATTTTGGTAAATGGAAAATAAAATGCATGAAAATATGACTTTACTTATAGACCACTATTTTTAAGAAATGTCATTTTCCTCATGAACCGACGCAGTACCAAGCTTTGCTTAGTTTTTGGTTCATTATACAGTCACATGTTATCATGGAATGAAAAAGGTGAAGACAACGAACAGTGATCGACCTCCAAAATCTTTCAGACAATAGAAATTTGTAAACAGAGCATAAAACACGGACCCCTGGAAATTTCTGAGGTGGGATCAGGTGCCTAGGTGGCGTACACACTAAGCAACCCCTGTTGACCGATCCCATCCGCTGTGAGCTCTATGTATTGATCAGGCAGACAGAATATCATGTAATCAAATTTAGTATTTAAAAAATTGCCACAAATGGTATGAAACATGTCATTCAAAATAAGATCCAGTTACTATAGGTTGTATTTACAAACAAGGTCAGTATACCGACCATAGAATTCACAAAATTCTGTCTTTAAACGAGGTTTTTTTTTTTTTAAATCCCTGTATCATCAACTTATTTGTCAGTATTATGCCTCAGTTTAAAAAAGTTATCCTGCTCAGGGCATACTCGTGCTTATTGAAAAAGTTTGGAGACAAAACAACACATGCAGATGATGTTGGAATATTTACTACTTAGAAAAGGAAAGTTGACGATGAAAAAGCTGACGTCATCATGTCTATCAAACGGTTTTTGGCCATTATCATCTTTAATCAGTAAAATGTCCAAATATGAATCAGATATGACAGACCTTGTGGTGACTTTTATTTCGAATTCACTGGGATATAATGAGTTGAGTCAGACATAAAATAAAACGTCATCGACATATCTAAATGTTGAGATGAAGACGACAGCAAGTTTTCTTCTCGTATAAAAGTTTTTGAATAAATCAGACTAAAACAGATCTGCTAAAAAAGGAACAGAATTAGTTCTAATTGAAATTCCAACAGACTGTTGGAAGACCTGGTCTCCAAAGACTACATAGATGTTTTCAATGAGGAACTCAAGCATCCTTTTATCATCAACCTTAGAGTACTTGTGTCTAGATTCAGAATTATTTTTAACAATGTAATTTTGTAGATGACCAATCACAAATTTCTGAGTTCCATTTTCATTAAAAAGCAGTTTGCTGTGATATCAAAAAGCCTAGTCTTTAATTTATCGCGAGGAGTGGTTGTATAAAGTGTAGAGAAGCCATGCATTTTGATGTAATAAAATCTGGAGATACCAAACAGTAATCACGCTCAAAAGTCCATTGAAACAATACAAATCGGTAGCAGAGCAAACACGGACCTCTAAAAGCATCAGAGGTGGAATAAGGTGCCAGAGAGGAGTAAACATCTACTGGCGACCAGTCAAACCCATACGCTCCTTGTAACTGACTTTTGAAAAAAATGTGATTTTAAATTTTCTCAAAGTTCTTTTGAGTTTTTGAGAATCCACATTTGATTAACACCACTTTTAGAAAATACTGTATATTTCCATTCCCCCCTCACTTTTTACATTCAGACAAAATGCCATTTTTATATATGGAGATAAGAGATTAGGATTGAAGATAAATAAAATTAAACCTACATCTGAAAATCTGAAATGAAGGCTTCATCTGGTAAAGTGACGTCAAATTTGATCTCCTGTGACGTGTTAGCGGGATTAGCAACTTTACTGGTGACCAAGGTTGTAGCAAATCGATACCGGATATCGGACTTCACATGCAGGTAGTAGATACTTGGTTTCTGTATAAAAAATAATGTTCAAAGTCATTTTAATGACGATCATGAAAAGTTCATTAATTCATTGATATCTTAGTATTTCTTGATAAAGATTGACATTTTTGCATTAAGCATACCTGCAAACTTCTCAGTTTATCATTTTACATGCTTCATAAAATTTTACATTAAAAATCCGTTTGTCTTTATGTTTGTCTTCGATGGTACAGGACGGTAGACTGTCTAACTAAGCTTTATGTTTTACACTTTGTGTTTTCTCCGTCCTTTGATTTTGATAAACTATACTCGTCTTTTCTTTTGTAACAACAAGGTTACTCAAATAGACTGCACTCCGATTTTTAAAATAGTATGATTATTTGACATCGGTTTCAATGAAGTAAAAAAGGATCAAAAGTTCTTTCTACTAGTATCTTATTCTGACAATATCCTTCTAATCTTTAATATTTTCAATCTTCCAATCAAAACAATTTAATGTTGTAATACAACTGAAAAGATGATTTTTTTGCTATTTAAAGCTTCATGACACAGCAGATTTCAACTTATTCATATAATGACCCTTGAAATGGCATTGGATGTCAATATGTCAAAGTTTTAGATGGGAATTTATAGGCAAAACATCTTTTGAAATCTTTTAAGAACAGAGGGCTCATTAGTCTATTTAATATGTAAGGATTGCAGTTTGCCCCCGATCATAGGGTTGATAGGGTTGAGGCCCTCCTGTCCTTGTAAAGATTTCCCTTACAAATTCCCACGTGAAATTTTAATCCTCTATCGTTAGGGATCATCTTTGAAATATAAAAGAAAATTATAATAAATAATGATAAAAATGTCTTAAAATGAACCACCTGGGTATGTTTTTATACTCTCATTAATCATTGGCCTGTTGTTTTCGAGAAGAAGAGTTTGAAAGATATATACATATATATTCCAAAATCACATAGGAATTAAAGATCATAAATTGTCCCTTTTTTAAAAACTTAGGTGCAATGCTACTTTTAGATAGAACGTTGCAAAAGAACTGCATGCTATACAGGATTCGAATTAAATTCAAAATTATTTAATACTTAACATCTAGATAATCTCTACTTAATCTAATATGTTCTTCAATCATTATGTTCCTCTTTAACCTAAGATGGGGGTGAGATCAAAATGTAAAAATAAATATATGCATGCATATGTGAAAAAAATTGATGCAAATGTACAACACTTTACTAGAGTTGCTTCCTGACTTTGCAATTATTTCTCCCAGAGAAGTAGCGCATGGAGAGCAATTGACATCCAGCCGGAATTGACCATCAGATAAGAATATAAATAAGATTAAAACATTCACCGAGTTTAAAAATTAGTCTGCTGCACATATTTTCCTCCCAGAAGGGGATTTCCCTTGTGTTTTCCTCCCAGAACTACAGCATGTTCGCTGCAGAATGGTTAGTTGCATCTCTCCTGAAATGGGGGGGAATCCCCTTATGTGTTTTTCCTCAAAAGTATTCTAGTGTTATTTTTGTAATTTGATTGGATTTCAGCCTTGAACTAATTTTTCTTTTGCACATCAATCTTTTCTCATTTTTGTAGTTTTTTACTGGAAAAATATGATGGTTTATGCATTGCAGAAGTTTTTTTTTTTTTCGAAAGAGGAAGAATGGTGAGAATAAACATATGACACATAATGTTTTAGAGACAATTCAAGCAGTCTATACATGTACAATGTATATGTTTCTATTTAAAATCGCTATTTAATATCGCAGAAACAGGAGAATACTTCACACATTAGAAGTTTGCATATTTCCGGTAGAGTTTAAATGTGATATACACTGTACTTTACATGGAACGCAGTTAATTGAGTTGGTGATACAGATCGTACCTGAACATGGTGAATATACTTATTCTTTTAAAAGTACACACGACATACGACCTTTATACCCATTCACAGTGTTCAGTGCATGTACGATGAATTTTTGTCGTCTTTTAAGTCGTTTTGTCCCTCTGAAGTTCCAAATTTTAATACATTACAGTAAGTAATTATATCAGGTTTAGATTACAACTTTTTTTCACTTTTTCGTAAGCTTGTGATCGTTTTTTCCCTTTCTTTCTTTATTTTAGTTAACCTGAGCCGAAGGCCCAGGTGAGCTTTTCTGATCAAAGAGTGTCCGGCGTTCGTCTGGCATCTGTCTTCTGTAAACTTTTCACATTTTCGACTTCTTCTCAAGAATCACTTGGGCAATTTTAACCAAACTTGCTTTAAAGAATCTTATGGTAAAGGGGATATGTTCACAAGAAGTGCCACGTCCTCTTTCAAAGGGAGATAATTAAGAATTCGTAAACATTTGGTGGCATCTTTTAAAAATCTTCTTCTCAAGAACCACTGGGCAAGAAAAGAAGAAACTTAAATGAAGCTTCATTATGTACTCTAGATCCAAATTTGTTCATATCATAACCCCCAGGGGTAGGAAGGGGCCACAAGAGGGGCTCAAAGTTTTACATAGGAATATATAGAAAATGTCTTTAAAAATCTTCTTCTCGAAAACAGCAAAGACATGATTAGTCATATCATAAAAGAACTATACTCAGGTAGTGTAGATTCAAGTTTGTTCTAAACATGACCACTTGGGGTAGGATAGGGCCACAACAGGGGTCAAAGTTTACCATAGGAATATATAGGAAATATCTTAAAAATCCTCTTCTCATGAATGGCTAAGTCATTATTAGACATATTAATACAGAAGTATCCTGTCGCCCGCGTGGCGCAGTACTAGTGGTTAGAACGTCTGCTCTAGAGTCGCGGCATAAGGAGTTGACCCTTACGTAGTCCTCAAGTAGTGCAGATTCAGATTTGTTCAAATCAAGACCCCAGAGGGTAGGGCGGGGCTACAACAGTGTGTCAAAGTTTTACATAAGAATATATAGTTTAATTGTAAAAGGGAAGTTAAGTAAAACGTATTGAAGACTTAAAATAGTGGAATGACTTGATAACCCTTGGAATGGACTAACCAAAGGGTATATGAGGCAAAGCTTTGGGAAAGCAAGGCATTCAGAAGCTTGCTGAAGAAGTTGGATGTTGAATCAGCAATAAAGTAGTTAAGGTATTCCATCTCTAACAGCAACAGATTAAATGAAATTGAATATACATGTACATAACAGATTTGTAGGGATTGAATACTCAGTATATTTAGACATAATTCCCATTTATTACTATTAGCATGTAAGGGTTGGATGTGTCGTAATTTATGACCTTGAATTCTGTTTTAATTAATAAAAAAGCAGTTTTGAAAAAAAAAATTATCTGGTAAAAAAATCATTTTCAATTGTCATTTTATTTCTAATGTTTTAAATGCATCTTTCCACCACAGTATTTATTGATATTCTTATTATTTGAATTTTTATTTTTGAAAATAACTTGTCCCCACAGACTTCAATGCAATCTTCATTAATTAATTACGGCTTAGTTAATTACATTTATGAATTTTTCTCTTGGTAAATCCTTTTCTACTGTAAAATGCTTAAAATTACATGTAATATCAGAGTATCATTGTACATGATGGACATTTAAGGATAGAGAATTTGGTCCTATTAGGGAGGGAAAACCTTAAGGGTAAGAGCAAAATAAAAGTATTAAAGTTATAAACACATGTGGCAAGTATCCTAGGGAATTAATGTTAAGTTCTGGGTGTAGTAAATCTGAAGAAGATTGAGACACCCGGTTCGATATATTAATGGGAACCTAGGGGAGAAACACGGCGTCTCCAGGGTTCCCCATAAGCTGTTTTATTATGTCGGGCCCGACACAGTAAAATTTTCCCCCGACACAGTAACGATTCAAATTTTTTGCGTGCGACACTGTAAAAATTTTGCGACACAGTAAGATCTGTGATAATGAAAAAATAATTTCTCTCAAACTAAAACGTTAATAAAACAAATCTACTGTCTTACCATTTTTAAGGCAGAGCACTTAATTATCTCTTAATTAGGGCACTTTATCTTGCTTCACCTTGCATTATCATTTATCTCCTAGACCCTCGCTGGACTTAACGCATGAAGGAACAAAGACAAATAATTTGTTTTCACACTTCCACGTAACCGTTTAATTGCTACATGCTCTTGCACTTTTAAATATTATTTAGAAGATATTTTTTTTTATAAATACTTCGATTCAGAACCACGTCTCTAGAATTATGTTGGACCTGTGAGACAGTCTCTATAGAAGAGAAAATTTAAGTATACTGCGTGATATACCCTCGGACAGAGCTGTCTTAATAATCATTCCAAACATTAACTCAAACAGAGAAAAGGGAAACCTGTATATCCCTTGTAAGAACCTGATCATACACGTTACATAGGAAATCTTCTTAAAAAAATACAACAACTAAACCATTAACATCATTATTCATATTTATACAGAAGCAACCTTAAGTATGTAGAATTAAGTTTGTTCAAATTATAACCCTCAGGGGTTGGGGGAACAATAGAAAGTCAAAGCTTTGCATAAGAATATATAGAAATCATCCTGTAAAAATCTTCTGCTTAAGAACAGCAAAGCCTTGATTTGTCATATTATTATAGAAGCATCTTCAGGTAGTGTAGATTCAAGTGCATGAAATAGAATATGTAAATTTCTTGTTTTATACAAGATGCCGATGCATTTAAGTTTTTAATATTTCACTTAATTGACATGTTAAGCACGGATTGTCTATTTTTTTTTACCTAAAAACGTAGAGCTAGAGATCTGATGGAATGATAGTACAGCAATTAAAACATGGTAAATTTTCTTTCACCCAGTTAAGACATTGGCATATTTTGTTTCAGTACGATTTAAGCATAGATGAAAGTTATATGATAAGAAAGAAATGTAGTAGATTAAGTTAAATCAAGAATGTTGCAACTTGTAATTTCAAGGAACAAGAAAGCATTATGTATTTATCACGAGACTCAGAATATTTACAGGGAAATTTAAGAGGTATGCATTGCGAAATAAATATTGCGAAACTTTCCTCCTGAGGGAGCCAAGAAAG